CCGGAAAAAAAAAAAAAAAAAAAAAAAAAAAAAAAAAAAAAAAAAAAAATAATGATGACCTCATGACCGATTTTATTTCCTCTGTACCCCAACCTATTCTTCTCCCTCCCGCCTCAAGTCATAGAAAATACTGTAATACCAGGCATAATATCATTTCATCCCAGAGGGAATTTTTAATAAACCTATCCTACACTTATGGGAAGGATGCTTTATTCAAATCCTCTTTATGCAAAGCAGGAATCATCTCCAGGACGGTGCCAACCTTTTGGACCAAGGATTCTCCTAGTGCTGTGGTCTCGAACTTGGACCTGCCATCCTCCCACGATCACTTACAATAGTAGTTATATTTTGTGAGGTTGTGATTTGCACTGTGGCATCATCCAGTCATGGTAGTAACAAGCCATAGTGGATGACGATCTTTGAAAATGTCTTGATAATCGGGAAAAACCCATTTGTTGGTCAAAGTGGACATTCCGTCTTCAGTCACTGGCTCCCTGAGACACAAGGATCATACTTGCCTGAGTCCCTGTGACTGTGTCTGGGGTAATTGGACACTTGGGAATTCTTACTGCTGACAGTGATGAATTTTATTACACTCAGCACTGATTAGTCCTAATTAGAGGTTTATAGCTGGTTTAAAATGGTACTTTCAAGAACAAGTTTGCCAATGAAAATATGTAAGGGAGAAGACATTTCCTTAGTGTTTTTGTGTCTTTAGGAGTATTCTTACAGCACAGCACACAGGAAGATTTGGTCGGGGGAGACTGTGTCCGGGTTCAGAAAATGGAGTTGGGGGAAACCATTCTGTTGATTATATTTCTATGACTGGATCAATCTCTCAAAGATTAATTTCGTGCCTACTAGCTACAGAGGGACAGCAGGGTGCTGGCATGTGTGTTGCTGCTGTCCTTTCAGATGTTCGTGTGGACAGTTAGTAATCAACCATGCTGAAGCCAGACCATTGCTCTCGCTCGTCTCAGGAGTTTCCACACTGCCATTGCCAAACATGTCTAATCCCTGGCTCAGTGGCATTTATTTGGTAGTTTCATATCCCTGCGTCTGAAAATGGTTTATTTGCTGAGGGTATGGTAGGATCTAGGGTTATAGGTCATGGGGGTAAGAGATATAAGTCATGGGGGGGCGGGTAGAATGCCAAAAGTTCTCAGACCTTTTCAATACATTCTCACTCTCCAAACACACATTCCCAAGCACTGCATAATTTTTAGGCTGAAGATGAAATTAGTGGAGAGTAAATCGTGCTACTGGACATCAGCAATGACCTTTTAAAAATGTTACAAATTTTAATTTTATTTCTTTATTCTTTTCTGCATTTTCTGTAAGCCCTGGAACCACCCCTGCCACTCCCAGGTCAACTTGCTAACAGCTGAATCTAAGCTACCTGGCCCACTGTGGATCTGCCCCCGGCTACTCTCTGGATATCATGATTCTTGTAGATACTTGGTACAAAATTGCATTTAGAAACAATTTGTAGCATGGGTCTAATCTTGGCTTTGACTTGGACACTAATTTTTTGACCAGGGAAACCATTCAAATTTCTGAGCCTGTTTTCTTATTGCTAAACTGAAAATGACACTTGTTTTTATCTATTATTAGGTTGCCATGAGAAGTGAAAAAAAAATGGCTAACATGCTCTGGACATATTTTTATACCACTAATTGAAGTTTATATGTTTTCATGAACTTAACCCAAGGACATCAATAACAGAGAGGCACCAGGCTGAGCAATTACAGGATTTTTTCCTTGAGCAAGCCATGCATCTTTATTTCTTGATATTTCTTATAGGCAATTAACCATCTGAGCAAGATATTTACTTGAAGAAAAAAGAGACTGCATTTACATGTTTAGTAGCAAACAAGCTTGAGAAAAATTATATCTTTGAATGGGCTATTTGGATAGTTTTACCTTTATCCCAAGTAATACTTCAAATTTCTGCCAATCACACTTACTCTTTTGTTGAAAGGGTCCACATAAGCTGTTATAGGGTTATAGCAGAAACACTTTTCTTTTTCTTTCTTTTTTTCCTTTTTGTCTTTTTTCGTGACTGGTAACGGGATCGCAACCCTCGGTGTCGCACCTGCACCGCGCTCAACCAGTGAGTGGACCGGTCTCTATATGGGATCCGAACCCTCGGCAGGAGCGCCGCCGTGCTCCCAAGTGCCGCACTCTACGGAGTGCGCCACCGGGCCGGCCCAGAAACACTTTTCAAAAACATATAGATGCAGAACCAAGGGGCAGAAATGTTCTCTGCAGTTGTTACAACAGAACAGGCGAAATCAGCATGTTTTAAATCACCTCGCAGTGGGTTGAAAAAGGACTTTTTATTTCTGTTTTCTTTATCTTTAGTAGATTAAAGTGGCAAACGGTTTCTAGTTGAACAGAATGAATTAGTCAAAAGATAATTCCAGAGGAGCACTGTAATATTAAAAACCCCACAAATTTAGAGAATGCAGCTCTAAGAAGAAAAATCACAATACAATTTACTGAAGCATTGGGATTATTTTGCTGATAATATTCAAGTTTTAAGCAAAATAAAGCCAAATGAAACCCCAAAGCCTAACATCAAAGATACCTCCCAAGGTGCAGTTTACCTGTTAAACCAGTCGTCTGTGTATCGGGGATAAGGATAGGGGTCGTTGCTGCTGAAGTCATAACTTGCTTCGGCGTTCTGAAACACACGAGGTATCTCATTAGGTCAAAAAAGCCAGAGACACAGTCAAGGGAAATGCTGAAGGACTGTTTTATGTTTATAGTTCCTGCCTGGAGTGCTGTGTTAATGTTCCACACTGGACCAGCTCCTGCAAGATTGAGACAGAGCTGACATGTGTCCTTGGAGCTTTCTAGCCTCCCTTCATAACCTTTCCCGGGCTTCCTTGTACTATTTGAAGCCTTCTAGGGGTTAGCAAATTTGAGCCCTGCGTTCTCCAGGACTGTCTTCACTTTAAGTTGTAATGGATTTTGCCTGGAATCCCGGGCTTAGGGAAAGCTTCCTTATGCTTCCTTGGGCTGATGGCCAGAACGTTCTAGTTTCCATGTCACAAGTGAGATGGCCTCTGGAGTTTCCTTGCTTTAAACAGAGGGCTCACTTCCAGCTCCCTCTTTCAGACTGGCATAAGGTTTGTCTCCTTTTCCCTTATTGGGTGTTAAAGCCCTGCCCAAGCCCCTAACATTCATTGTCCACAATTGACCTCTTTTATTCACTCAACAAATAGCATTGGGTCTAGAGTATGTCAGAGTCTTTGCTAAGTATGGGAATCCAGTGGTGGCATCCCTGCCCTCTGAAACTTACAGTCTACTTGGGGACAGACATCAATCAAACGATCGAACAAATAAATATACAATTATGAACTGAGATATGTATGTACTATTACACCGTACAGCATATGATTAGAGGTGTAAAATTCTATGTAATCCAACACCTCCATTTTTTTTCCCATTGAGAGGTTTTTTTTTTTTTTAACATTTAGGTCTTTCTTTGATCTGCCTTTTATTTTGGTCTACGATGGGCAATTGCCCACTATCATTTGGTGAAAAATCCACTCCTTCCCCTTCTCCGATTGCCCAGGGATGCTGATCTCTGTGAAATGCCTCTCTCAACTCATTTTCCCTTTCTTTGTTTTGGGGTCTACAACAAAGACCCAAGATTGTTTCTTGGTCCTCAGTATCCATCAGGCTAAGAAATATTGGGTTAGATGCATATTCCAGCTTTTTTCATATTCTTAATTCCATGGGTCCCGAGTGGTATGAGGTAAAACACTCTACTTTGTGATACACTTTAGTTTGCAAACCTAATGTATTAGTGGCATAATGTTTTTAAGAGAAAATTCATTGACTTCATTAATTTTTGTTTTGATTTGTTGGAGGACAAAGGGCTGCTAGCCACTGGTAGTGATAATGATCAGAATTATAGTACTAACTTATTTAAATTAAAGTTGTTAAAAATTTTGAAATAAAAATTCCCATTTGGGCAGGAATCACCCTGACATTAGGACCCGTCTTTTTTCCTTGACTATTAAACTTATCTAACCTTTATTCCACAATTAAGGTCTTTATGCAACACCAGGCCTTTAGAGTCTTCCTTTCTCTGCTGACCATAATTATTGACGAGTTCCCAGTTTTTTTCCTCCTTCCCCACTTAGATCCCAGATTACTTTCATTCACTTTTAAAGTTAAATTCCGTATCTGGTCTGGAATGCTTGTCTCTGGGAGACACTCTCAAATTTGGCATTTTCCCCCCGACTTTCCTTGAGATATTTGTATTTCAGTTTTTTCAGGGATACTATTTTGAAATAGTAACTTCTTTGTCTTCCTTGAGTATGTTTGGTTGCTTCTAACCTTCTCTGAAGTTTTTAGAGGTAAGAGCAGTTTTTTTTTTGGTAGAGTTAGTGGGGTAGGAATACTGAGAGAAATACAAGTTAATACTTTTTCTTTTGGGCTTTAAAACTGATACTGAAACTTAAGCAATAGATTTGGAAGACTATTTGCTAAGTCTGCTTTGTTTCTCCATAGATGAGATTGAAATTCCCTGGTCCAAGGAGGGTTGGATAGGAGGTTCAGTATGGGTAGCCACATGGGACCCTCAAGGGGTCTCGAGTGCTACCTCCTTCTTCTGAGCTGCATTCTTGGGGTGCAATGGGGGTCTGTTGGAATGTCCAACCTCAGAGAGGTCTGAGACTCAGTCCATGACAGGGACATGGAGTCGCAGATCAGAAGTGGCTCTGTGAGGTGTCTTAGCTGACAGGCTTGGGGTGGCACTCTGTGTTTCCCTGATTCGCAGTGCAGAGTAGGGAGCAGCAGAATATTCTTTTTTTTTTTTTATTTTTTTATTTTTTTAAAATTTTTATTTTGTCAATATACACTGTATATGATTATTATGGCCCATCACCGACACCTCCCTCCCTCCTCCCTCTCTCCCCTCCCCCCCAAGAATGTCTTTTCCGTTTAGCAGCAGAATATTCTGACCCTGACCCTCAGCAGCAGAGCAGGGAGGCTGAGAATGGTGGGGACATGACATTGGGAATCAGCTGGCCTAGAAAGTTCTGGAGGTCAAGATAATGAGGAGCTAAGGCTTAGGCAGGATCTGTGTGAATTGACCACTGAGGCCAGTGGAAATGGGGATGCTGCAGAACCCAGAGTGGACAGATGATGGCAAATCAGCATCAGGGCCTCTGTCTCTCTCTCCTTAATGCTGTGTTAGTCCTTTGAAGCTCGAGGGCAATTCTGGAGACAGGAAGAGTGGGGGTAAAACCTGAGATGACCAAAATCAAGTTTCTGTCATCAGTGTAATTAGGCTGGCAGACAGAAATTAAGTTCAATTAGAGAAAAATAGAGAATTTCTGCACCTTTGCACTTGCTGCCCGAGTCACTGGTTTCACGAACTTTCCACTCTGGCCTATCTTTCTGCTTCATCGTTACCACCTGGGTTTGCATTGAGGCTTCCTGCTCACCCTGAAGGGGGTGGGACAGGGATTCTGACAGCAGACCTTGTAGCCCAGAACCCACGACTTGTGACCACTTTTTTTTTTTTGTCTTTTTCCGTGTCCGGCAACGGATCGCAACCCTCAGTGTTGCCCCCGTACCGGACCGGGGACCGCCAACGGGATCGCAACCCTCAGCGTTGCTCCCGCGCCTCGCCCAGCCAGTGAGCGGGAACCGGTCTGTATGTGGGATCCAAACCCTCGGGCGGGAGCGCCGCCGCGCTTCCCAAGCGGCACACTATCCAGTGCGCCACCGGGCCGGCCCGATATAACAAGGAGAAAGGCCATGTCCTGTCTGGGGTCAAACTCGCTCCTGAATGTTGAAATGGGTGATAACTTAGAACCCCCAATTATTCTGTTGTTTTTACAATTGTGTCCGGCAATGGATCGCAACCCTCAGTGTTGACCGCGTACCGGACCGGGGACCGGCAACGGGATCGCAACCCTCGGTGCTGCTCCCGCGCCTCGCTCAGCCAGTGAGCGGGAACCGGTCTGTATGTGGGATCCGAACCCTCGGGCGGGAGCGCCGCCGCGCTTCCCAAGCGGCACACTATCCAGTGCGCCACCGGGCCGGCCCGATATAACAAGGAGAAAGGCCATGTCCTGTCTGGGGTCAAACTCGCTCCTGAATGTTGAAATGGGTGATAACTTAGAACCCCCAATTATTCTGTTGTTTTTACAATTAATTTAATGACTAATGCTTAATCCCATGGGTAACAGTCCACACTGAGCATTAAAGAAGGCATACGATTGTTCTTGTTTGGCTGACTGTTTTCTGGCTAAAAATCAAATGGTGTATAGCAAGAAAGAACAATGAGCAATATTTTGCAAGGGTTCTGTTTATACTTCTATAGCCAAACCGAATCATTTATTGATTTGAATTACAATGTTGTCTCCCATAAAATTATTTGTGTACAGAAATAAGTTAAACTGGACTCGAATTATACTGGACTTTTCTATAATAGTAACATGGACATTGGGGGGAGTAGTGTTTTAGTAAATTTAATGTTGGCATCTGAGGCTAAGCCAGGTGCTTGTTTTGTTTGGACTTCTCTAACTTCTTTCTAAAATGCATTAGTCTATATTTTTTGTGTGTGTATGCTTTAGATAATACTAGCTGTTCAGTGAAAATAATTTAATCTTTGATGATTCAGGGTCAGGATGATTCAGGGTCATCATCAAAGGCTTGAATTATCATAGCACCATCACACGGAAAGTGAGAAGATTGGGTTGCATCCAAATTGACCTCAGGGCTTCCCTGGAAGTTATTTCTGGAAGAAATGTCTGATAATGGCTTGTTTTCTCTTATAAAAGTTGAGTGCAGGGTAAACAAACAAACAAACAAACAAACAAACACCTCTGCTATTTAATAATTCCAACGCTTAATTTCTGAGTATTAGAATACATAGACAGGGGGCCGGCCCGGTGGTGCACTGGATAGTGCGCCGCTTGGGAAGCGCGGCGGCGCTCCTGCCCGAGGGTTCGGATCTCACGTACAGAACGGTTCCCGCTCACTGGCTGAGCGAGGTGCGGGAGCAACACCGAGGGTTGCAATCCCGTTGGCGGTCCCCGGTCCGGTACGGGGGCAACACTGAGGGTTGCGATCCGTTGCCGGACACGGAAAAAGACAAAAAATAAATAAATAAATAAAAAATAAATTAAAAAAAAATAAAAATGAAGACAAAATAAAGACATTTGCAGACGAAAGCCAAGAGAATTCATTACTGTCAGACCTGCACTACCAAAAAAAAAAAAAAAAAAAAAAAAAAAAAAAAAAAAAGAATACATAGACAGGAAGGAAGCCTTAGACTTGGTCTTAGCTAGAAAGGTTAATAATTATGGGTTTGGCCTTGTTTGCATGATGCACTTTTCAAACAGCTGGCATGCATGCACAATAAGCAGGGAAAGGACAAGGGACTTACCCATTTTTATGAAATCCTCTGACTTGTTATATCGGAGGTGCTGCATTTGTGTGGCTGGACTCACCATGAAGACTGGTGGTGAAAGATGGAGGTTCCTGAACCCAGCAGTACCCATGCCCACTGCTTACACATTTGCAGAGAAGCCTCTGAGGCACTGAGATCAACTCCAGCTCTGACATTGCCATCCTTACCCCCCAAATCTGGAATTTAATGCCTCTGTGGCTAGTGGGCCTCCCTCTGCTGGGCTGCACACCACCAGTGTGTCTGCA